AAAAAAAGAGTATTAAGATAAAAAATAGTAATAAGAGAAAAAAAATATATAACTCGAGTTGTCTTTACGTTCTTAACTTCAGTTGACGTGAATCTAAGTTTTTTAACATCGTGGAAAAACTTCTGACATTGTCTCTGTTACCTGGCAAGCAACAAGGATGAGTAGGATTCTCCTCCGTGAACCCGACAGTGAGCTGCCCGGTGGGTCCCCGGAGGCCTACCCACCAAAAACCGTACTCTACACCTTCTCATGGGAAATGAAAACCGGCAAGCTATGGCCGAGTCACCAGGACACTCAAGTATTGGATCATTGCTCCCCTTGCAGATGGAAAATTGGAGAGACTCGGCTAAATCGAGTGCCTCTCCCAGACAGACGAAATCGTGCAATGCGGGAGCGGCTGCCAACCACCTCCGCTGGCCCCGACGACGACGTGAACCTAATCTGATAAAAATATGCGTTCACTGTAAACTACTCGAGGCTTAATTGCATCATCGGAAGGCTCTTTCCGCTTGTTCTCCTACTCGCGTGATCGTATACCACATGTCCATTATAAGCTGAACCCTATTTTATATGATTGGCCATATATAAATGAGGTCAACTTACTTCGGAGTTGTCAAAATTTTGGAATCTTATTTTTTTATTTGTCATCATACAAATTATCATTTCATAGACAATATTAATTCACAGCTCGGTGGCGGTACGGATATGCGCCGCTGCGCACGATCGCTATTGCTAAGCAATTATCGCAAGAGTTGTTCACGGGATGGGTGACCAAAAATTATTAAACAAAGGCCTGAGGCCCTGTAGTTTGGCTGTGAAAGAGTTAATGATGATGATCATCATATCAAAGATGAAAATTTTATAAAACAGTAAATATTTCATAGCAATTTTGGCGACCACGTCACTTCAAATTGACATAACTTTTTTATTTGTGAACCGATTGTAATAAATCTTACCCTAAATGTTAACGGAAGAATGCCGCAACACAAAAGTGAAAACTGCATTTAAATAGGTTCAGCCGTTTCTGAGATTATCGTGCACAAACGCACAGACAAACAGACAAACCGACAAACAGACAAACAGACAAAAAATTTAAAAATCATTGTTTTGTATTCTATTACACTTATAAATGTCCCCTATAACAGTTTTTTTCATATATCTTCAATGTACAGACATCGATCGGTTACGTTTTTATTATAGTATATAGATATTTTTTTAAACAAATATTGTTGCCATATACTTTTAATCAAGTAATACCTTGCGTAAACCATGTTATTGAAAATAGATACGATTTGTCATAGTCAAAGGCTTTAAACATTTTTACTTTACCAATCGCCATTTTTAAAATGGCACTCTGTGTTTTGTAGCATCACAGGCTTCGTATTACTCAAGACGGTCTATTATTGTTATTTCTTTTTTAATGAATGTTGTGTTTCTATTGATTCATATGAAGACTTTAGGTAAGGTTAAGGTAACAGTTTGTCTATGGCGACCATCTCCCATTAGGGTAGGTATATTTCACAAGTGTGTTATTAATGATCGTGCTTCTTACTGTGATTGGTGTACAAAGAAGTGTATAAGTATGCGCAGCGCTTTAAAGACTTCTACAGTCATACGTCCATTTTCATTATTTTAAAGCGACATTACCCATACAAATTTGACATCCATTAGTCCTTAAAGGCGTCATTAAATCTTAATGGACGTTTGTGCAACTAGCTGATAGTCTTTTTCAATAATTGGGTTATATATAATGTATTAATAAGTCTAGTTTCGAATTGGTGTACCAAATAGAAATTGAAACTGTTAGTTTCAATTTCTATTTGGTGTTCATTAGTTTTATCCATTAATCCATTAGTTTTATTATAGGAAAATTAAATATAATACTTAATCAACTACGAATGAAACAAAGTAATTTTGTTTGACTAATTCAAACAGCGCGAAAAATGTTATGAAATAAAATTCTAGCTTTTAAAATTATGTCATATTTTATGAAATAACAAAAATTAGATATCGGAAATCGTAATTTTAATTATATCTCCATAATTAGTTGCTTTTCTTCTTAAAAGTGGCGACGTAAATACTGTAGATTGAAAATATTATTGATATTGTAAGTAAATAATAAAAATGCGTTCAATATGTGAGTAACTATGAATTGTAACGTAGACATTAAGTTGATCATAATATGACCCTGCCAAAACAGATAACATTAATATGATATACAAAATATTTATTTCCATTTTAAAAACTAAGGTAAATTCAATAAAAACAGAACATTTATCACAGCTCAATGAAAATCCGTTGAATTTGGCGGTGAGCCCTTTAATTGAATGGTGCTATTCCATTGCACAGCTACATTTTCGATCAACTTATTACCTGGTCATAACGTCCTACGATACGTCTGTAAAAACCCCGACCAACTACTTAAAAGTATTACGTTACCATGTCATAATATTTGATTTTATTCATACTAACTTTAAATTTATTTACAATTATATGCGGTCAGTTGCACAAACGTCCATTAAGGTTTAATGACGACTTTAAGCTCTAATGAATGTCAAATTTGCATGGGTAATGTTGTTTTAAATTAAAGACAATTTTAATGGACGTTTGTGCAACTGGCTGATAGTCTCTTAAAATTAATGGCTGCTCCTAATTACATAAATATTAGATATTTTTCAGAAGTTAAAACAGCAATAGTATATGTAATGAATACAATCTGCATATAGATTTTGTCATATTATTTGTTATCATAAACTACTTACAGCCAGTTGCACAAACATCCATTAATATTATCATTAGTTTAAGGCGACATTACCCATACAAATTTAACATTCGTTAGAGCCTAAAGGCGTCATTAAAACTTAATAGACTTTTGTGCAACCGAGCGTTAAAGGAATATTGTAAGTAGTTATTAATAACATAGAATGGATAACCTTGCAAGCTCTATTCGAGTAATATAAGTAGCTAAAATCAATATAAGACCACAGCTCGCGTGGAGAGGAAAATAAATAATACCGGCCTGAATAGATTTAAGTGATTAATGCTTATTCAAGTGTACCAATACTTATTGGACTTGCGATACTTACTTATTCTGTTTTGGAGGGTCTTCTATTTGTCGAAGTATTACGGAGACACAGTGTTACAGAAAACTTTATTTCTTTACAGGATTACGGATAATGGTGGCTTAACGCCACATCCAACTTTGTTGTGAAAGGAAAGCCACTAGGTTTTTTTATTCAATATAATGTAAAAAGACGTGTGTACAATATTAAGGATTTGCTAGGAAAATGATAGGTCCTTTTTATTATTCACTTGTTGAAGAAATTAAACATTATTTTTGTCGTAAATCTTCTTACGTTTATTTGTCTAGAGCCAACCAAACGAATCACAAGTACACTACCTACTATTTCATGTACCGCTTTTTCGTTTTGTTTTTGGGACCCTCGTGACTTAAGTTTTTATTTTTACATTAAGGAATATCAAGCAGTCGTATCAAAACTTTTTGAGCAAGGACTTGTTCATTTTACCAAAATTTATACATTAAATTATACATTATACAAAAATTATACATCCCTAAATTTATACATTATTACGAGATGATCAAGAAGACACAAAAAAGAGACTTTTCGTTATTTTGCAGCAAAACCGTTTCCTTTTCCCCATTGATATAATTGTTATACGGCTAGGTGCACAAACGTCTATAGATAAAATTGTTATCAGTTCAAAACGACATTACCGATATTAATTTCCAAATTTAGAACATTCATTATAGCTTAAAGTCGACATCATCTACTGGACCAATTTAAAAATTCATCTACGTGAAACTACATTATATGCGGTGAATATAGGCTATATTGTAGTTTGTATAGGGAATTAAAGCTTTGTCATCATTATATCCTTGCCATTATAAAAAACGCTGAATTAAGGATGGACTTCTTTTTATCTCACTAAACAGTTCCCTTGGGACTATGCGAGCGAAGCCGCTAGCAGAAAGTACTTTATAAATTGATTTATTTCTCTGTATACCAGTTACAATTTTGTCTTATAGTTAGGTTAAGTATAAAATAAGGAAACATAAAGAGAGCAGTTTACTCGTATTGATAAAATACCTTGTGAGATAGGTATTTGTTTTCTTTGAATGTAATGTTATTTATATGTAGGTAATATTATATTAAATGTTATTTAAGTATGAGAAAATTTTAATTTATTTGACAACAGCTAACACAGTTGTATAGATTTTTTTAAAGAATTAAGTAAGTTATGTATATGTATATGTACTTACATATTATACCTTCAACTTATTCTTTTGAAGATGAATTCACAATTCAGTTGTGTGATACAAATTTATTATGACAACTTTTTTATTTAAAATCTTGTTTCATTAAATTTTGTTATTCTAGTAGTAGATACTAGAATAACAAAATATGTATAACAAAGCTTGGTTTCTTGTCACATAAGAAATGGAACACCCATTTATAGTTACGCATACAGAAACACAAAAATTGTAACACTAAATTGCACAATTTTGTTAAGATTGGCGAAGCGAATTTTGTTTTTCTTAGACACCGGCATATAAAATGTCTGCTACCTCATTGTTCCACGCGTTCGTTCGTACACATAGAAGCTGTCAACGCTTGGGAATTACCTCTCCGCCAAATAAAATTATGTCGCGAAATTTATGGTGCTGTTTAATTGATTTTTGTGCCGTTAAAATCACCATAATTTTTAAGTTTTCCCAAAAATTAACTACAAATCAAAACCAGATCAAACCAAAGCTAAAAGCTAATCTTATAATTTTATTATAGGTATTCGATCGATGAAATGTGTCTCTTCTTGTCGAAATGTGTCGGTATTTATTCATTTATCACTTTTGGTCAACCTACACCCTTATTATACAAGTGAATCGAGACCTCCTCGTCTACTATCCCCTCCTCCCTCCGCCTTGCTCAACATCCTCTGAAGTAATGCATTAAAACCATTTTCAGTAATAAATTATCATTATGGTACCTCTACAAGTGTATTGTTAATTTGCCAACATCTTTTTATATGCAATACTGTCTGTGAATTTAATCCTAAAAGAATCGTCTCTAATTTAGATGTGCCCTTGTAATGGGAGCTTAAGTGGGTTGATGATGGTATTAAAAAACAACAAGTTACATCTAGAATATCTTTTCAGGCCGAGTTAGTGGCTGTAGAAGGCAAAGAGATCGAGACACACTACGTCCTAGCACGAGAGAGCCTTCGACGCTGGAATTTTACATCCAAATGCTACTTGCTCGTAGAGAACTTGCCAACGCCTTTGCAGGTAAATATTCTTTCAAGCTAGATATTTGAATATCGAATACTGAATTACATCAACACATTGGTGTGTTTTCTAAATAAGGAGGTTCAACTCCTGTAATTGATAATAAACGTGCCATAACCTCTGCAACTTATCAGGATCTTGTGAAAATTACTTAACTTCCACATCGCAGATTTTTGTGTCCTAGAATTTCTCCATTAATAAATCGATCATGATTCATTCCGTTATCAGGCTGGAGGTATCGCCAGTGCGAGCGTGTGGTCTTCGTGCGGTTGCCGGCAACGATTACTTGCGGCTGTGACTAGTGGTGGTCGTGCTGTGCACTGGGCTGCAGTGCCTGCTCCAGTACCAGCCAACCAAAGCGATCTTTGTCGTTTTAACTATACGTGAGTACTATTCATATTAGCATAAAAGTTTATGAAATATTTTATTCCGACACTAATAATAATACAGCAAGTGATAATATAAAACAAATAATTTGCTTAGAATTATGCACGAGATCTAAGTGATGAAATCGCCATGGAGTCATAATTACCATTACTCCATGCTCAAAACAAAATAGTTCCACCTCATAAAATTATTTGTTCAAGAATAAGGTTATAAGTTTTATATCCACTTCACGGTTGTCTTTTCATAGAAAACCTGTAGTATTATTCTCAAAATAAATAAAACCTACTTGATTTTGTAGTTTTGTTGATTATTTATTTTTATTGTGCAAGAGACCTAAAACACTAGCTTTTATTTTCACTATCCAGCTCATATTACATAGAATTGTTAAATATTGAAACGACTCCCACGTGAACCGTAAAAACTATAGTAACGTACAATTAACAATTGCACGGGTGTTCTCATGAGCTGTTTGAGCATTTTCATTATAATAATCATTTCATTTTATACGGTTTCTTCAAAATTTGGTTAACTTCTGGACTAAAAAGTAAAAGTCCAATTATATACTGTGGGTAATAAGATCTACTTTGTTGTATCTAAAAAAAACAGTCTCTTTACTGAGTTTATTTTTCATTTCTGAGGGATGAATTGATCATTTTTTATTTTGCCCTTTCGGTCTTTTTTAGGAGCTCCTCTTTGGACTGTAGTATTTTCTTTCTGTACCTAACTCTATACTCATCAATTATACTGTATGAAAACAACCCCCTAAATTTGCAATCAGGCCCTAGTCGCTTTTATGACAAGGGTCTGGCGGTCTAGGGACTGACAAATCAAGGCAAAACCAAACGTAACCTATTATTTAAAATAAACATCAAAATCAGCAGGTGATCAAAGCAACAAGGAAGACAATATTTTACAATAAGTTTTCAATAATTAATCTATTATCTTTAAAATAACCTAGCTAGGGCCTGAGAGTTTGACTGGCAAATCACTTGTTTTCGCAACAAAGTTGACGACAGCGCTAAAAACAAAATGGCTGATAATGGCCGAATTTTTATCTAACTTCTTATCGATGTTTTCGCTTACGTAGCTTTTGGTTAGATGCCATGAATTATTTAATTTCGCTAAAAGTTGGACCAAAATTTTTTTACGTTTATACTTTTTGACTGTAAAAATTCTGATAAAAATATTGTTCTGAAAATAAAATTGCCATGATGTGGTTAGTAATGCAATAATAACGTGTTTTTGTCGCATTGTAACAAACTTTTATGTAGAATTAGAATAACAGTGAAATTTTTGCTATGTTTGGGAGACTTTATTGGCTGGGGACTGATATTTAGAGTACAAAGAAGCTATTTTCAGATGTAAAAAATATTAAGTGAATGACCAAAAAGCGAACACTTTGTAATATTCAATACAACTAATCTAACTATATGAAAATTGTTAGTAACACCAAGTTAACCAAATTTTGGCGAACCACAACCATCATACTTGTATATGAATTGGAAATTTTAAATCCTATTAATATTATAAATGTGAAAGTTTCTTTGTGCTTCTCCGATACTACACGCCGATCCTACTGAACAGATTTTGATGAAATTTGGTATACAGATTTTAGCTGATTTAGATAATAGGATACTTTTAATTCCATTAAATATTTCCCTAGGGACCATGATAGTGAAGCCGCTAGCGAAAGCTAGTAAATAATAAATATACAACATTAAGATCTCAAGCCGAATAACCTGCTTACGGAAATTGGAATCGATTTAGATATTTGCAACTCTTAAAGTTTATTTCTAAAACTTCCATAGCCGAAAATCACGGAACGTATATAAAAGCTGGTTGAGTCATCAACTTCAGTTTGAATAACGCAATTGAAACGAAGTAAGTTTAAGCAAATACTTGATGCTTACAAGTTTAGAGTTCGAACACAATTCAAAATTAACATCTCCCGTCTTAAAAACAACGAATAAATTTAGTACCACTATTTAAACAAAAGAAGCTCAATATCAATTTAACGTTTTGTCTCCTATCATTTTCACTTTGTTTAAATCTACAATGATTTAAATCGAGTGCTAACTTTAACCCCCGTTTTATACTATGGCGGTTCATTTTTGAAAACAAGATTTTCTTGGTCCATGTTTCTTGTATAGACAAATCAAACGAGACGAAACTTGACAAAGTTACAATATTTAATTACAGTTCCATGTTCATCCCGTTCCATCATCAGATCTTGGATATTACATCTGACCAAAGTGTTATGACAAATCAAACGAGCACAAATTTTATATGATTGCTGTTTCATTAAAAAGGTCCCATAGCTACATTCCAGCTCCATTCTATATTAATATTGCTTTGTATCCCAATTTATGTATGTATACGAAATTTCAGTTCAATCGATAACCGGGAATTAGTCTTCGGCTTCCAAGATTTGACTATAACACCCAAGTTAAAGGAAAGATTCTAAAAAGTTGACCGTTGTATAATTTCTTCTCAAATCTAGACCTTTTGTTCCAATTTCAAATTACCAATTTTAGTTAGTGTTGTATAGACGGATTCAAGAAATACAAATTAAGGATATTTGATATGGTTGAATATTTATATATTTAATTAAAAAATTCATGTATTTGTTAAATAAAATTTTAAGCTTTACTTACATACTATAGACAAATTTCAACCATACCAAACCAAAATGAAGTCGTAATGGTAGAATTGGAAAAAAAAACAAGTTATTTTCCCGCTCGCCCAACGTATATAACGAACGCAATGCAATTTATGAGGCAGCGTAAAAAAAGTGTAACCCTACTGTCAATCAACCCAAATCAACCCTCAGAATTCACAAAATCATTTCTGATATCTATTTATAGATAAGCTTTTCAGGTAATGTTTGAAATGTTTTGGTGCAAGATTTAAAAGTTTCGCTTGCAGCTCAAAAGGAAAAAACGGTACACATAAAGGATCACTCGTTTGTCTTTCTGTCTTTCTATCAGTCTATACTATAAATACTGGACCGATTGAGTTGAAACTTGGTATAAGTCGGTGACCCAATTGTGATTATCATTTATACGTATTATAATTAGATATTTAAACTACATAATTATACAGAATAATTCTAGAGGAAGGTATAGAAACATGGGTAAAGCCGCTGGCATAAAGCTAATGGTCAATATGTGAATTCTAACAACCCAGGTACCCCTAGGATGGTTGGTGATATTTTAAACATTTTTCATTAATAATATTTATCAATACATCATTATGAATACAAAATTTATCAAATATTACAAATGGAAGCCCCTTTAAAGAGGCTATTTCGAACTATAAAAAGGTTTCACAAACTGTATTTTATGATTAGTAAAAAGGGCCTGTTAAGAAAACTGTAAACATATTTTTTAATTGCAAGATATTAAAAAAATCATTGCACTTACATATTTAAAAAAAAAACAAAAATTTACCATACTTCAACCTTACTTCCGTATCTATTGAGCTTAAAAATTGTTCCATATCTACTTATTCATCACCAGCCCTTTTACGTCCCCACTACAGGGGGTCAGGCCTTCCTTATGGATGGTTAAGGAGGATAGGCCATGACCCTCCACGCTGGCCCAATGCGGATTGGAGGGTATTAACGACTGCAAATGCAGCCGGGGCCAGCGGCTTAACGTGCCTTCGCTCGCTCGAGATAATATTTTTTGGTCACCCATCCCTTGACCGACCCTTGCGAAAGTTGCTTAACGACAACGATCGCGGGCCGCGGCGCTTATCCACTACGCCACCGAGCTACTCTACTCTATTAAAAATCTATTATTATTATATATATCTACTTATTATTATAAATCTATTATTTATACGGTAATGGATCGGCATTGACGTCAAAAAATTGTTGGTTTGTATCGACTTTTTAGCTGACTGCGCAACGCAAAGGAGGGTAATGTGTTTATGAGTCTATGTATGTAAGTTTGTTCCTATTTGGCATTGTAGAGATCAAATGGCTTGGCCAATTTTGAAGATTTATACGTCAATCGATTTCACTTAAACTTCCCAGTGTCAATAGACACATCGCAGTAATCAAAATTCTTTTCTTAGGGTGCCCTACCTACCCTACATGTAAAGTGGAGATAATTTTTTATTTTTTCTATTTCCCTATAGTGGGGGATATTGTTGCATAGGTCCTTCAAAAATTATAAGATGTAGTTAGCCGTTCGCAAATTATTAAGCTTTTAAATCATCATCATCATCATCAATTCAGCCAAGAACCGCCCACTGCTGGGTATAGGCCTCCCCCAAAGATCTCCAAAGCGATCGGTACTGCGCCTCCAGCTTTTATTGCCAAGAACTAATTTGGGCCGAGCTTTGGTTGACTTAAGTTCGCGAATTTTTATTAAAGGTCAAGCTTATGTAGCCTTGACCTAGTAAGGTCTCTAGAGGGGCTAGTAATCAGTAGTTTAGACCACTACAAGTTGCTTCATAATCCTCACGATAAAAACTCCCTCAATGAAATGACAAGGTTGCGAAATTTACGTGTTGTAGTTTTAATAACGAAGTCAATTATAACTAACTAAAAAATGAAATAAAATTTTATAATAAAAAACAAAAAACCCGACTGCGTGAAAACAAAACGGTCCTGACTGTTGGTTCTTCTATTCTGCTTTTAAGTTGAGTTTATGATATGTTTTATGTGTGTATAGATTTTAAAACTATTTCAATATAGCAGTTAAGCATTCCAAACTACTGGGCTTGTTTTTTCTTTTTAGTGAAAGTTATTATATAATATATTGTTTTTTCACTTCTCTTTTTTTCCCGTAGTCGGGTTTTTGTTTTGTGTTTCGATTTTATTTAATATAGAAAATTTGTGGCATTATTTTTCTTTTTTAAGCTGCTTCTCTTGATTAGGAATTTTTATGTTTATTATTACGAATTGTCAGTTTAATCTTTAAAAAAAATGCTTATTCAAAATTATTTTGCTAATTGCTAATTATAGACTCATAAACGAATTCATTTATTTA